GATAACTAAATATGGTAAGGACAGAGCGTTTGGGTGCGAGAGAAAGACCAGTGGACCAGAAGTTTGCTCGTGTTTGTGATTGTCTCCTTTGAGACAGAGCCTCTTTTTACAAACGGCAGAGCTAAATATAAACCAAGTCGCTGTTAATGTCAGCAGAGCCGCTCCACTTTTCATGCTGCTACTGTCACATTCTCCTCTCCTGGTCCTCACTCTGTTACATTTGAGCTCGCGTTTTCCAGCTAATGGCCAGGGCGGTGTTTTTCAACCTGGGGGTGGCAACCCCCGGGTGCGGTCGTCTGGATTTCAAATGGGGTCGCCTGAAATATTTTGTAATTGATGAAAAAAAAAAATCATTGATAAAGTATTTTTTCTTCTAATTATTATTATGATTTAAAAAAACCCACATTTTTCTTTCTCTTTCATGAATATAAATGGAGTTCAAATGAAAATGTAGAACATAAAAATATATCTGAGCTGGCGCATCTAGACTGATGGCTGCGATCACATGACCGTAAAAAAAAAAAAAAAAAAAAGTGTCTCCAAGGTTGCCAGAAATTTTTGAAGTCAAAATTGGGGTCACAAGCCACAAAAGGATGGTAAGAACTGGGCTAAGCTAACATGTTACTTACATGTTAGCTTAGCCTCTAACAAATCCTAAATGAGCTCTTTAACTAGCAACTAATGTTGGGCAAAGTAAGTTTATCTCACGGGTCCGACAGATTATTTCCTTTTTGCTCAAAAGGTGCATCATATCATGATAATCTTGTCGTTTAGATCATTGTTTCCCAAACATTGGGTCGCGACAATCAGGTGGGTCGCAAGAGATTTAATTTTGGGTCGTCTCGCGTCAAGTTTCCCAGAAGTTTACTAATAATGTCTATTGACTTGGGTCGTGTTAACACGTAAAATTTTTTTATATAAAGTACTAACCTTGTTTTTTATACTACTGCTTGCATTTCAACAGCCGGTATAACAAGTAGTACTTGTAGTGGTAACTTGACCAAAAAAAAAAAAAAAAATCGAATCGGATTGGACGACTTGGCAGGCTGAATTCGACACGCATCAAAATCATCCGCTAAATGAAGCTTGTATAATGTTGACATTACCAGCCATTACTTCATCACTTTATGACAGAACAGACGGTTAACCCCGACCTACACTTGAATCACTCGAGTGCCTTGAATCAGCCACGCCTAAAGACAAGAACAGGCTGCACTGTAAACCGTCGTGTTTCAAAGGTCAGACAGGGCAGTCGCAGAGCCGTTTTCATTCGGAAAAAAAAAAAAAAAATCTCAGTTAATAATTTCTCATGAATTGTTACGTTGCTGCGTCTATACTCATTCAAAAACTGATTGACTTGGGAGAAGAAACATTTAAACGTTATCCGTGCACCCGTTACAGCCGACATGCTGGTGTTAAGAGACATCTGTCCCGCAGGCAACAAACATGCACATGTGTTGTTTTTTTTGTTTTTTTTCTTCATCATTCTTCTAATAGTATTTCGATCCCAAACATCCCTCAGTGGACTGAGATGTACCTTCTTTTATGAGACTACTTGTTTTTAAATAAAAATGTACACAAATGTATTTTTTGCGATGTGAGCTCAGGACAAAAAAAGGCTTCAGCCTAAAAAAAAATATGAATTTCAACAGTCAACTCCACAGTGATACTTCTTAAAGCACCTTTAACAGTTACTAACAGCAGAGGTCCCCAACCACAGGTCTGCGGGTCTGTGTTTAGTACTCCGTTTCCCAAAGACTGGGTCGCAAGAGATTTTTTTTCGGGGTTGTCTCGCATCATGTTTCCCCAGGAGTTTTATGAATAAAGTCTATTGACGCGAAGGCTTGTGACTTTTAAAATACGCGTCCCCAGAAAAAAGGTTTGGGAAACACTGATTTAGTACCAACATCATACATCGTTTGTATTCTCTTACACCAATAATTACTAGTGCAAGACAGGGATCACCATCTATATTTGTCAGAGGACACATACCGGCGGGGACCGCAGAAAATTTTCTCTTTCTCTCCTTACAATTTTGGAATCCAGACGTGGGCCTGGTGGATTGGTTTGCTGTACCGGATTCGGCCCGCGAGCCACCAGTTGATGATCCCTGGCGTAAATGATCTTTTTACAGTAAAAGATATATAAGATATATAAGAAATATATTCTCAATTACCGTAAATGATCTTTTTACAGTAAAAGATGAATATATTCTCAATTATTGTACATCTGTTGGTGTCTAGTGAAATGTATTAACTTGCATGTTTCTGTCTCCCCACAAATACCAGTATTTTCAATACCCTGTGGTTAGAAACGAAGGTGAAATATCACTGAGATGGGGACCTCTGACTGATAGGAAAATAAAAAAATAAAAAAAAAATTTATTTAAAAGCCATGCAAAAATCATTTCTAATAATAAAAAACACACACACACTTTAAAACAGTTCCTCACACGGGTCGTCCTCTGAGGTAGTTGCCTTTGCTGAGTGAAAATGTCCCGTCAGGTTGCACAAAAAACAGACCAGCAATAAGGAGGACCGCTGCCAGGCAGGAAAAAGATCCAACTATGGCCGCAAATGTTGTTCGATTCCCTGTGGGAGACGAAGATTGTTTTTATTGAATGCTCTCTCTCTCGCTGCGTCGAGCCTGAGCTCCTTAGATTTAAGCAACAGCAGCTTTTCTCTGTTTGTAATAAACCAAACAAGCCAAGGTGAACATGAATAAAAAGAAAGCAGAAATTAAAATCCCAGCTGTTGTTCCACTGCCACTTCCTAATGGGGGGGAGATAACAGCAACGACAGCATTATGTATATATGAATATCTGAGACATGTCATGATTAGATCTAATGTTTCCACCAAGCAGCGCAGTGAAGTTCACACTGCCACGTCAAAGTCAACCGATTAAACCGATTACCAAGAATGACTCTTGATTTTCATACATTTGAATTCACAGCCAGTGAGCAAAGGAGAAGGTAAACAACGCTGTGCTACAAGGTCAGGTAAAGACCGATGTCTATCTTTTTCGAATAGCAGCAGAAACCAAATGCCTCAAATTTTCTTATAATCTCACTTTCAACCAATACTGAACTGGGCCGCCAATCAAACTTTTGACCTCATTTTGGCCAGTGAGCCCAATGTTTGTTTTTTTTTAAAACTTAACTTTTGACCTCATTTTGGCCAGTGAGTTTGTTTTTTTTTAAACTTTTTTAGAAGTCTTTTTTATACATTTGTTTAGTCCGATTTACTGCCTGATTAATATCTAATGGCAAACGAAACTACCCGACGACTTGGTGGAAACTTCAAACAAAAGTGTCGTTTTCTTACTCGGAGCTTTGACGATGGTGAAGTATTTGATTGCGCTTCCTTCGCTGTTGGAGGCTGTGCAGATATAGGTACCAGGAAACTGAAGAAACCGGTCCAAGGTGAGTGCATTCTTAGTTTTCTGCTCCTCCAAAGGCTCGACGGGACGCGGGAACTGCCAGGTAAACACCGGTTTGGGGTTTCCCTTTGCCGTGCAATTTAAATACACATCTCTTTTAGTTTCTTCAAGCGTTTCATTCTGGGGCTGGTCAAAAGTCGGCGCGTCTGAGGAAGCAGAATTGGTGAGATTTAAACAAGCATAGAAAGACAAACGACCAGGTGTGATTTGTTCGGGGGGCTCACAACTTACACAGGACAGACACTCGTTGCGTCCTTGACATTGTTGAAGGAAGACTTGCTCCAGTCGGCATCACATTCAGCTTGGCCTCACACCATACCAGAGCTCCGTTGTCATCTTTGTCAGGCTTCCAAGAGACCTCTGATGTCTTGTTGACCGGCGACGGACTGGTATCCGAAAATGTCTGCGTAGAAATTATCTTATGTCCCGCGTGCCAGTAGACGGCAAGGTATTTGGCTGGTGCAACATCAATGATGTGGCACTGGAACTTGTATGTTGTTCCCGCAATAAGTGGGCGTCCCTCACTTATATCTGACATTGACACACTATCTGGGAGTTCTGAAAAAAAAAATGAAACAAAAAAATATTAGTTAATTCTAATATTATATATTATTATATAATATTATGTAATAATATGTAAAATAAATAATGTAAAATGTATATATATATATAAAAATATATAAAATATATACATATATATATACATATATATATAAAAATATATAAAATATATACATATATATATATACATATATATATAAAAATATATTATAAATATTATATAATAATAATATATAATAATATTATATAATAGAACAGATGGTTTTTGTGTATACAGTAATGCAAATATACTGGTGTTCCAGGTCATCCAATTTCCCAAACTTCCAAAAAAAAAAAAATTCAGGAATTGAAGGAATTATCTTCGATAACATCAGATTAAACTTTTAAACTTCATTTATATACAACGCACTTTTCATCCATTAAATGTAGCACAAAGTACTGCACAGATAAAAGGTTAAAAGACGCAACCTCCGCACAGACGCAAGCTCGATAACAGACATACGAACATGTACACTGCTTTATTGGGAACCATCCACACCAGGAGGTTTTGCCGACCACATCCACCAGGGGGCCCTGTCTCAAGAACTGACCCGATCAGTGCGGAGCGAGAAACCGACACTGTGGCCAAAACGCCACCATACGGTGCTCGTCCACCCCATGTAGGTCAGGCTCCGGGGGCAGTCGCAACTCAACCGCCCGGTGTGGAGGGCTCCCCACGAGGAGAGGAAAAACATTGGAGCAAAATGGTGGAAACATGGCAGGATAAAGCAATAAGATGAAAAGTTAAAGCTGATGAAAGCAAATAAAAGCAAAAAAAAATCAAAAGTGATGATGAATGTTAAACGTTACTCGACAAATTCCTAAACAACATCCTTGCGCTGAAACACCTGATTTAAGAGGTAAACGAGGGTATACCAGTAAGATAGAATCACTTACTGTAAACGATGATTGGCAGGGGTTTATAACACTGCTCCTGATCTTTGCCAGTGATGAAGCACATCGGACTTAAATCCCAGAGATTTACGAGGTCTATTTTTAACGTTAGGAAGGAAACCCCTTCTGTAAACGGGATTCCATCTATCTGGGATTCCCAGCCCATCCCCAACGTCACGTTGGATGGCGAGGTGCAGTTGGTAGAGAATGAGTCTCCGTACCCCACGACCACACTGGAAGGGCTGAACTCCACGGGACACGTTGCTCCCACAGGCGTACCTAGGAGAACGGTGACAAAGAGTGGTTGAGCGAAAGCGAACCGAACCAAAAACCGAGACAGACATCTAGTACTCAAAGGGGAAGCCCAGGAGATCCCTAGGAAACCAAAAATTCCATGGCAGTTGCAGGCCCCCAAGGCAAGAGAGTGTTTTTGTGCATCGTAATAAAGCTCCAACATATTATACTATTTCTAAAAATAATAAAAAAAATACATTCAACAGCAAGGAGTGCCACATCATTTCGCTCTAATTGACAATGGCCACAAGAAACACATGTGAAAGTTTTATAGCAGAATCTGCTTTGTTACATAAAACTGGTCAAATGGCGTTGGCAGTCATAAAGAAGCACACACACAAAAACCCAATATCAACAACAACTGTTCAAACTGTTCAGAATGGTCCTCTGTCATTTGCTGTATCTTCCCTCATTTCCTGGTTGTTTCTTCACAGGAAAGAGTTTGTAATTTACAAAATAGAAGAAAGTCAGAATTAGTTTTTTTTTTTTTTTTTGAGATGTTTCATTTCCTAATTAAATTAACTTACATTAGTAGAGAGCTAATTAGATATGTTTTTTTTTTTTCGTCTTTAACCAGAAACACCGTTTGCTTAAAGTGTTAGCAAACGTCAGTAAAAGATTCACTGCAGCAGCTGAAAATAGTCTATCTTAACCACTTTGGAAAACATACATTTTAAGTTCTATTTTATTTTTTAAAAGTTTTGACACCTTTTTGTTTAGTATGTCGTTTAATTTAATAGCAAGAGTAGTATTCCGTTTTATAAACGTCTTCAATTTCTAAATACAGCACTTAACACTGTATTACAAACAGTCCGACAGCGTACAATATATGTTTGACCCAATGCAATAAACACTTGAAAAAACAATATTAAAAAACGTTGCTGATTAAATAAATTAAAAATAAGTTGAATACGTACAATAATTATAAGAGAGAGAGAGGGAGAGAGAGAGAGAGAGAGAGAAAATTAAGTAAATAAGTTGCATTTCCTCAAGCAAGCGACCACTGCTTGAGAAAGTGACCAAAGCCATAAGCACAATGGGCGTTGATAGGTCTGGGACCTTTTACATTTTGCAATGTATAACTTAACGAATATAAAATAGAACATAACAGAAAAATGAAAGAACAATAAGCAAAAAGGTACCTGTAACCGCTATAAGGAAGCCGAACGTGAACAACCACATCATTGGTTTTTGGTATTTGACGCGACCGGCTACTCTTAAACGACTAAATGTCGAAAAACTATTATCGTAAGGCAGAACTTTAAACGATTCCAAATCCGCGTATGTTACTTGCAGCGTGTGGTTTCCGTGCGATTTCTGTTTCATTTGGATTGAATCAGAAAACTCCTGGAGTTAACCTGAGGTTCCAATGTTGCATTTAAGTCCTGCTCGGAAATATTTGTTTTTCTCCGGAGTATTTCGATCTCGGACGGGACCGTACCATGTTGTATTCATAAAGGGGGAGCAAATGTCGTTTGGAATAAAAAATTAAACTTTCACAGCAACTTTTTAAAGAAAATATTATTTAAAGTCAATATTACATAACATCGCTAGCTTTTTTTTAGGTTTCTTAGCAGTTTTCAGAGCCTTATTATAATTATTCAGAAATACATGGTCTTATCCGTTACCGCCCTTTAACCCCCATTTTAAACCCCAACAAGGATTGCTTTACATAGTGTAATCTCAGGTAACACTTTCACGTTTGCCATACCAACTTAATGACTCTGAGAGAAGACTATTTACAGCTACTCGCTTTTCTTATCGTACAAAAAGCGTGTGTGAGAGTCCTCACTTGGATTTTAGATGTAATACATCTGGTACCTGGCTAAATGCTATAATAAAAAAGAAAAACTATGCTTAACTAGGCTTCAGACGTAGACAGGTACTATCGGTTCTATTTGTTGCATTCATAAATATTGTCATTTAGAGTTTTTTTTTTTTACAAGTTAGGCTCTGTGGTTGACTGTGGGGTAAATTTATAAATAATAATCTTACATAAAGAGAGAATATACATTCCACAAAGTAGATGCTTGTATATGTAAGCATATATATATATATATATATATGTATGTATATTATGAAATTATGTATCATTACCACTTTGCTAACCAAAGAAGGAAAGCCACATGCAAGAAAACAATGTCGTAGAATTCACTTTGTTTTAAGACAAAGGCTTATTTTGGGTGCAAGATGAATTTTAGAATATATGTTGTCACTTTAAGACAATTTTTGGTTGAGAACTTATCGTAAATGCCAATGTGAACCTCAATTTGTCGCGGTGTAACTACTGTTCAACAATGACAAAAAACCTGCGTAGCGTATGCCTAAAACGTTGTGATCCATAAGTCTTGTGTGTTGACAACAGATTCGTTTTAAGGGATTAATAGGCCACAGAGGAGTTCCAGAATCCAATTTTAATAATAAAATACTGCTTTACAGTTGTAACAAATATTTACACCAGTATTCACAAATACAATGTTTATGTGTCCCTTTCATCGCAGCTTGGACTTGAATCTCGCTGTTTACTGTAGTCCTGTTGGCGACACCTATTTTTTCAGTCCCTTTCTGACATTAATTCATTTGAATTAAAAAAAAAACAAAACAACCACACAAATAAATATAAGATTTTGAAAAAATAATCCTGGACAAACATCTGATGCAGCTCTAATGCCCGTATTCTTTCTTACAAAAGCGTGGAACAAGACAATGTGTCCTCCCAGAATCAAGGCTGGGGCCTGACACAGAGGGGCACAACAACAAAGCCAGGCTCAAAGAGAGAGACAGAAGTGCAGACTGATTTACATAGAATAGTGATGAGACTATGCGCTCAATAAATGGTTAACACACACACTGTGTGAAACATGTGAGTGTGAGTGTCAAACTTAGTATCACACCTCTGAGAGAACTAAAGGCACGGAGTTCAACAGCAGTGCACTTCCTGTTAGTGTGACTATGAAAACCACAACAGTCACAGACCACAACCTTTTAAAATACATTCTTACCCAAGGCTCCCAACTTTGAGGTTAAAATAAATATCTTTCAAACTTATGTGTATGTATGTATGCAATTGTTTCTCTATGGGACGGTGATAGGGAGAGCAATTTTTTTACTCTTACAATAGATGGCAGCAGAAGGCTAAGAACAACTGAGAAGAAAGCGACTCTGAGCTGTTGAAAATCCTGGCATCTTTCTTGAAATCCTGTGAGTATATCAGCATTGTGTTCAACTAAACAAGCCCAGCTTTCACACAGAGTAAGTAAACTGTTCACTGAAAGTAAACTGAAAAATAAGGGATCATTCTATTTCATTACATATACTCTTAGGGATATTTTGTTTGGTGCGATTTTTCTAATGGTAAAATCTGTGCCATGGCTTTAAAAAAGTTGGGAAACACTGGGTTAGCGAACCTGTCATTTTTTTGGTCTGCCAAGATGACAAGCTTTTTTTTTTAACCTTAGCTAATACAGTATCATCACAATAAACGCTCTTCTATAATTATACATTGCACAGAAATGTTATTTTGATTGGTTGTGTTGGCATTTTATACTCTCAATAACATCCGTAAAAAAAAAACCCACCAATTTCTCTCACCCCAAAAAATATTTTAAAAAAATCTATCGAGTAATTTAAAAAAACTACTGTGTGCCAAAACAGATGTATGTTATGTAGGAATCTGATCTAGACTATCTGAACCGGACCAATGAAAACATGGTTAATGCTAATTTATACCTGGAAACAGTCACAAAAAGTACTCCAGTTCAAAAAGTACAAAATATTATAATAATAAAAAAAAATTCAAAGTAACCATAAATTCCTTTTTATAAAAATCTGACAGGCAGTGTCACTGACCAATCGGAAACTTTTTCTTCCAGTGACGACAGAATCCAGTAGTAATAACAGAACCGTACACCTCTGTCATTCATTGGTACAAGTCAATGTAAGGGCTAGCAATAAAAAAAAAAAAAAAAAAAAAAAAAAAAAAAAAAAAAGAGATGTGTGGGGGGGGGGGGGGGGGGGGGGGGGG